GGGAAGGCCCCCTATGAGGTGTACTGATTCAGTGATTGGGGTAGTCGGGATGGGTGTATCGGAGATGGTGCAATTGGCACAAGACAGAGCAGAGTTTAGGGATGTTGTACATAGGGTTGCTCTGAGTCGCAAGCGACTCGACGGCACATAACAACAACAGGACAGACTTGTTGTCTTGGAGGTTCATAGTCTGTTCTCTTCCCCAGCACCGTAACTCAAAGGCACCAATTCTTCTATCATTCTTAGTCATTGTCCAGCTCTCTGATGCATAGCAATTACTTGCAAAGACCATGGCCTGAATTAGGTGCACCTTAATCTTCAAACTGACATCATTACTCGTCAGCATTTTGAAGAGATTCCGGACAGGAGACTTGCCCAATGGAATATGTCTCCTTATTTCCTGATTGCTGGAACCAAGGATGTTGATTTTGAAGCAAGATGAAATTATCCATTCAATCCTTTATCCATCTACCATAGTGTGTCCGTTTGGTCCTTGTAGCAAGGACCTTTTTCTTGATGTTGAGATGTTATCCATATTGAAGACTGAGACCTTGGTCTTCTGCAGCAAGCATTTCATCTAGTTCCATTCAATCACCATGTAAGAATTACAAGACTACTCATGGTGTATGAAGTAATGTATTGAACGGCACAATAACAATTAAAAAACTAAATCTGCATGAGAAAACAGTTGGAAATAAGAAATGGGAAATGAACATCTAATCAAGTATGACAATTTCAGGCGCTAAAATGCTACGCTGTATGCATGGTCAAAAGAGTTCCTTTAAGTCGACTGGGGAAAGCCTTTCTGACCTGCTGCAAGGCAGAGAAGGAAACCAAGGTCAAAGTCCTCACCAAAGTCTGAGCTGCATTGTAATTTGCTTTCTATGCCCCCAAACATATATGTCGGTAAGAAAAGTGGCCAACTTCGGGAAGGTAAATACGAAGAGGTAGGATGAAGAATAAAACCTAATGTGATTATAACTATTTTGGACCAAGAAGGAAGAAATGGTATGTTATCAGCGGGTCAGAACGCTGTCTTAACAGGTCTAGAACTGCAGGGTAATGAAGAGAAAGTGAAAGTGAAAGTAAAGCACCAATTACTGGAAAAGGAAATAGGTTACATTCCATCTTCCCTTTGGCTAGGGCCTTCCCACCCACTGCGGAACAAACCCTTGGGTTTGAACTCAACCTGCAAACAACACGGTAAGTCTTCAGCTCCCACGAGGACAACCTGCTCTTGTTCCGCCTCTGGGACAACTTCCGCCTCCTCGGCGGCCCTGCCCCCGGAAGGTCCTGCGCACGCGCGGGGGCCATATTCGCCGCGGATACTCCAGTCGCGGTGGTGGTGGTGCTTTTCTTGCGCCTTGTAACGTTCTCGGAGTACCTCTTGCCTCCTCGGTGTCTGCACTCGGGTGAGCCTTTACCTCTGGGGACCCGCGTAAGCTTGGTCACTCTCCCTGTGGACAGGGGTTGTGAGCGTCGGCACAGACCCGGTGCAGGCCTGTATCCAGTGCCGGCGAACGGCGGGCACGATGACTGTGCACCGGTGTCAGGGACGGACCACTTGCCGGGACTTGGCTCCAGCCGGCCACCGTTGGGCTTCTTGTGCGGAGCTTGGCCGACTGGCTGCGGTCGGGTTGTTTGCGTGGTGCTTGGACAGCGGGAACCCCGACGGGCTGGCTAGTTGGGTGCAGGGGAACAAGATCAAGGAGTGAGGTGGCTTCTGCCCCTGTGAAGTCCGTACAGGATAACGCTAGCGGGGTACGGGTGAATTTTAAGTCATCTTATGCCTGGTAAAAAAGAAAGTTGTATTTACACGCGAATCAAACCTTCGGCAAGTCTCCCTGGTGTCTGACCGCTTCCCGGCTTAGTTATCCTTTCACCTGTATTGTAACAACTTCATAAACTGTTACCCTGCTGGAGTGATCTTACCAGCTAGCTTTTCCAAAACGCACATTTTACAATCATTGATTGGAATGATAGGGAAAAGTTTTCACCTAGATAGATGGGCGTTTTATGACCTTTTTCTTACCTTTTCAGTATTGTAGTATTTAGGACTATGGACTTCCGAATCTGCAGTGCAGCTTTCCAACTAAGTCCCTGTGCCCACTTTTACGGGAATGGGAATGTTGATGCTGAAAATGAATTATTTGTGATTCTGGATTCCGTAACTCCGTAGAGAAAGCCTGAGCCACTCAAGGCTCTGCATGATTTGAATACTTGTGTACTTTGCTTAACTTTTTTCAAACCTCATCAGTTTGTCTCTTTTCTCCCACTTTCCCTATTCCTCACGTTTTCTGATAGTTTTCAGTATTGATGATGTTGTTGTTGTGTGTTACCTTTTTTTTTTTCTACATTTTCATCTTTATTGCTTATGCTCACCTAGTTATTCCCTCCCCCCCTTTAGCTTACCTTTGAGCATGTTTTCACAGGGAGTAAAATCGCAGGGGAGGAGGAGGGTGCCCATCTTTCGCCCATCAAACAGCTCTGGTGGATTGGAACTGAGTGTCTTTGGTATTGCAGTGAAGCGTCTTACTGCTAGACCACCAGATCTCTCACAACACAACAATAATCTCTATTTTAGACTCATTTTTTTGTATTCGTTTGTCATAGAAAACTTCCTTGCTTTCTCCATGCTTCTTTTTGCCTCATCTCTTGCATTGCTTTGTAATTAATTCTCTGTGCACATGGAGCAAACAAAACAATTTTTTTTTTAAAAAAACCTTTTTACTATGCTTTAACAATTCATATATATTTTTTGTTGTGACATTCATTGCAGGGTCCTCTATGTAATAACTCTACCTACTTCCTCCCAATTTTCACCATTTCCAGTCATTCTTTTCTAGCCTCTCCTGCCTTCTGATCTTAATCAAATGGTACTCTTTTGCTCTTGTATGGTTGTATGGCTTTATAGACTTACCTGTCATTTGGATGAAAATTGAGGTAAAGGTTTGAGCTCACTTCCAGACTTGAATGGTGACCATGGAACATAGTCTCAGGAGTTCTCCTAGTTTCTGTCAGACCAGTAAGCATGATCATTTCTGTGATTTGAGTTTTGTTGTATATTCCTACCCCCCCCCCCCCCGCCAGCTCTGTACTTTTGTGGTCCCCTTCAGAACAACCAGCATTGGTAACTAGGCACCATCTCATTCTGGTTTTGAGAGTCATAGAGGCCACGGTTCACGTGTCCATTAGTGTTTTGGACTTTTGTTTACATCTTTGATATTCTCCACCCTTACTTGCTCCAGAAACAGAAAAATCTCTAGTTACACCTTATATGGCCACCCACCAAAATGATTTTTTTAAGTTAGAAAAATGCCTTTTTTGTTTTAGAAAATATCTTTTTTTTTTTTAATTGAGAGTTTATTGTAAGTTTATAAAGAACTTGGATTTCCTTATATTCATTGTTGCACATCCTCCCCTCCCCCAATTAGCTTTTCTTTGGGGGAAAAAAGTTCTTTCATTGTTAAACAGTCCCCACCCAACCCCAGACCACTTTACTGTGCAGCTTACTCTGGACTCTTGTCATACCCATAATACCTAATCATTTGGAAGGAGGAGTGGCATCCACTTCCGTAATAGCTTGCCTCCAGAAACCCTATGAACCTGGAGAGAGGATGAGAAACACCCAAGCATTGAGGACTCTCATAGGGTCGCTATGAGTCACCTGAGACTCGATAGCACTTAACAACAACAACAATACCTAATCATATATTTCTTTTATTCAGTTCTCTCCCTTGTCTGTTTCAACACCATGTACATTATATATTTGCTCTTTTCTTAGTTTCCCCCCCAACCCCCATGTCAGTCTTGTTTTATAACAGTGGCATTATACAATATTTGGCCTTTTGTTACTGAGATATTTCACTCAACATAATGTCCTCAATGGTCACCATTTTGTATAATATTTCATGAGTTCTTTGGGTTTTTTTCAGTGATGCATAATATTCCATTGTGTGAATAAACCACAGCTTCTCTATCCATTTGTTTGTTGATAGGCACTTGGGTTGTTTCCAACTCTCTGCTGTTGTGAACAAAGCAGCAATAAACATGAGTGTGCATATATATCTGCTTGGGTGGCAGTTCTGGTTTCTTTAGGGTATAGAAAATGCCTTTTTAATGATCATTTTAACAATCAAATTTTCTTTCTACAGGAAATACTGTAAAATTCAGGAAATATGGTGAGTATATACACATACCAGTAAGCTCTTATCTAATAAATTATACTGTTTGTACTTAAGTTATGGACTTGTGTGAAAGGAACAGAGACAACATGGAGGTGGCCAGGTTTGACTTCCACTAACTCCACAATGGTGAACCATCCCCATCAGTAACATACTGTTTATAAAACCAATCCCTTGGTAAGATATGCACCTACTTCTCCTAATCACTGAGTCCAGTACTCATTCCAAGAGCTGTGGATTTTATTAGGGAAATGGGTGATGGGGGAATGTGGGTGGCAGCAAGGGAAGGCAAAAGATACCGCACAGTAGAAGTCCAGGCTCAGTCCAGCAACACAAATGCAAAAAGCCTCTGTTTTCCTTAACTGTCCAGCCAGCCTCATCTCATAGCAGGCCCCAGAAGTAAAACCTTAAACTCTTGCTCTGACTACAGGGTTTTACCAGACTGCACTTTGCCTCAGTCTTTCTTCAGTCTGGCCAGCCCTTCCTCTTATGTAGGCCCCACAGCTGTTGATGATGTAGAAGATGACACTGATCATGTGTCTGCAGTTGAGTCCACACCCCCAAGTTGGGCTAAGGCAATACCTAGAAAAGCCCATTTTCAAAAGTTCTAACACCACAACTTACATAAGAAAATTGAAAAGAATGGGGAAAAAAGAGACAGGTGGTGTCTGTCTTATATTTTTTTTCTCTCCCATATATTGAACTTCATGTATCATGATCTGTTTTATTACATGACTTGTGGACTTGGAGAAACTTGCTTACTTTCATTATTTAGGAAATATTACTCATTATTTACTTGGTTTTGCTTTTCAGTCTCGAAGATATGACTCCCGGACCACTATATTTTCACCAGAGGGTAAGTAGAAATTATTCTGTCTGTCTTAAATAAACTTTTTTAAAATATTGGACTTATAGAAAGGAATACTAACAAACGTTTCCCCCTGTGGTTGCTAAGGTGTTGATCCTGTGTGTGCAGGCATGCCTCAGCGATGTTGCAGGGTCCGTCTCAGAGCACCATCCTGAAGTGAATAGCACAAAGCGAGTCACATGAGTTTTTGGTTCCTCAGCATATAAAAGTTATGCTTATCCTATATTGTAGTTTTTAAAGTATTTAATAGCATTAGGAAAATGATTGAAATACTGTGAGAATTACCAAAATGTGGCATGTTATTGTTGTGATCTGTTAAGTTGAAACTGACTCCTAGCTGTCCCTCAGCTGATTTTCAGAAGCTGTAAATCACCACACGAAGAGATTGCTCATTTCCTGCGGAGCGTCTGATAGTTTTGAACCACCTGCCTTTGGGTTGCCATTGTGACTCCTTACCCTTTTGTCTCCCTAAAACATGACATGTTGTTATTGTATACCATAGAGTCAGAACCAACCCATAGCTGACCCTCTGATGAGTTTTCAGAGGCAGTTAATTGCACAGAGGAGATTGCCCATCCTTCTCCTGTGGAGCAGCTGGTGACCTCGAACTGCATATAGAGACACAAATGTGTTGAAAAATAACAGTAATAGACTTGTTTAATGCAAAGTTGCCACAAACTTCCATTTTTAAAAGGACAATAAAGCAAATGCAAAAAAAGAAGCAAAATGTGCCTGTTTTGTCTTAGTATGATTACCAGAATGATTACCTGCTTTAAACAAGAGTCAAAATGGGACTCTTAACTTGTATTTCATCAGTATTACTGCTGATTTCTCTTGGTTCTATAGGTTACCAGTGGGATAAAATTCGTCTTAGTTTCTTGTGCATGTGATTTTATAGGTCGCTTGTACCAAGTTGAATATGCCATGGAAGCTATTGGACATGCAGGCACATGTCTGGGAATTCTAGCAAACGATGGTGTGTTGCTGGCAGCAGAGAGACGCAACATCCACAAGCTTCTGGATGAAGTCTTCTTTTCTGAAAAAATTTATAAACTCAATGAGTAAGTGAGCTCTTTAGGAAGAGAGTTTTAAAATATGTTCTCTCACATAAGCCCCATTTGTTCATGTTTAGGACTAAGCACTCAGTAGAGAAATTACATTGTGTAGAAGAGCATAGGAATCCATATTCCACCCACACTGTGTACCCTTGCACCAATTAGTGCCTTCTCAAAGCCTCTTTGTGTGGACTTAACAAATATTATATATAATATAATATAATAAATATAATATAATTAGGCAAAGCACCTAGTACTTCCAAGATGATTCATACAGATCTTACAAAGGTATAGATTCTGATTCAGTATATATAAACTCTCAGCAGAGGACTGAGTCAGAATAAACCAGTTCAAAATATTGTTTACAATGGCTGTTTAGGGATTTTGTAGAATTATGTTGAGTCTTAATTACCAAATAGTGGGCATCCTCAATGTCTGGGGACAGTTTAGTCATGTCCTAAACACTGTCCATTACGTCACTGATTTTTGTGAAAGATTAACTCTTTGCTGCTACCCAGTATATTGGAGATTTGAATCCACATGGAATGCCTCGGAATAAAGCATTGGCCGTCTTCTTCTGAAACATCAGGCATTGCAAACTACTTTTCTCTGTAAACTTTCATTCAAACTAAAATAAAATGTATTTTTTTTTTCTTAATTATTATTATTTTTTGTGTGTGTGAGTGTACCGTCAGATCAGATCTGACTGGTACAGGAGATTGTCCCTCCTTCCCCGGCAGAGCATCTGGTGGATTCGAACCGTGTGCCTCTGGGATTATAGTTGCAGTTCCTTGCCACTATGCCACCAGAGCTCCCCTGTTGTGATGTTTAAATGTATTTTTTTTAAAAAACAACAAAACCCGAACCAACAATAAAATAACACTATGGAGTACAGTTCTGCTTTGACAATATGGAGTAGGAATTGAGTTGTTGGCAACTGGTGGTGTGCATCTATTTATATTAGGCATATAGAACTTTGTCATTAACAGATGGAATTGCTAAATTTCCTTTCAGTGGTAGGCCTGGTGAAGGGTCTTTTGATGCTCATTGTAGTGTTACCCCATCACAGAGCCTCACAGCAACATGAGGGCTTGGCTAGTGAAGAGCTGGGGCAGTCCTGCAGGAAGAGGGGACAAAGAACAGAAATGCACCCCATAGTATGACCGTAGTCCTGGATTTAGTAATGAGGCGTACGAAATCCCCTACCCACATATCCCCTCAAGCTAAGCCCTACAAAGTCAGATCCCAGGTTGTTTCACTCTCTTGTCTGGCAAAACCTTTTCTTACACTTTTACTGAATCTCCAGGATTTACTTGAGCTTCTCACTGTTAATTCTTTTTCTCTGAACACAGAGCAGTAATGATAAATATATCTAATTAAGAACTTAAGAGTATACTTGTTCAAAAAGTCTCCTACAAAGGTAGAAAACCTATACGGTTGTAGCAGCTGTGAAGTAAGCGTAGTGAATTTTTAACAGCATGAACAGTAGTAGAGCTTGATGCTTTTTTCATACTTTAATGTTTAAATAATTCTTGCAGGCATTCATTTTCCCTGCTTACAGATGAGTCTTTTTTTCTTTGTTTGTTTTTTTAGGGACATGGCTTGTAGTGTTGCAGGTATAACTTCTGACGCTAATGTTCTGACTAATGAACTGCGACTCATTGCCCAAAGGTAAGACTCTCATAACATAATTGACAGTAGGTAGATGAGATGTTTCCAAGGAGTGCTTACTTATACAGAGTTTAAAGTTACTAAAAATCCCGTTAATTGAAAATGAATAGGGTTTTTTTTTAAGTTAAACTTGTAAAATATAACTTATCTTAAGGTTGGTAAGGTATTGCTCCCTTTTCAAATTACAAGTGACAGACATGTTTGTCTCAGAGATGTAAATTTCTTTTCAGAGAGCCTCTTGCTTGGACTGAATCTGTGTTTTAGTGAAAAATTATAATGTTAATCTTTTTAAATTCTAGATATTTATTACAGTATCAGGAGCCAATTCCCTGTGAGCAGTTGGTGACAGCACTGTGTGATATCAAGCAAGCTTATACACAGTTTGGAGGTATTTTTTTCAAAATTATATTTCAAAAGGTTAAAATGTTTAATGGATTCAGACTTTTTTTAAGAAAATAGAAAGGATTGAAAATTGAATAGGTATGTAAACACTTTTCATAAATTCCTGCTTTATGAACTAACTCCCATGTAGATTAATATGAATTTTATTAATAGTATATAAAAAAGGCATTTGCTGTTTTCTAATCTGGAGACAGATTGCTTTTTGCATAATAATGAAATTTAGCACTGTTCTGTGTCTTTATCCTCCGCCCCGCCACCAGTGTCCCAATCCTAGAAACAAGCTGAATTTAGAATGACATTTGTCTGTCATAGCCAGAACATAGAGCGTTTATGAATGTTTAACATTACAGAAAAAGGTTTAGGCCGCCTTTACTGAATGTGAAGAACTGATACTAAAGTTAGCCTGTTAATGTGAATGACTTTTTCTTTCTTATTAAAGGAAAGCGTCCCTTTGGTGTTTCACTACTGTACATTGGCTGGGATAAACACTATGGCTTTCAACTCTATCAGAGTGACCCCAGTGGGAATTATGGGGGCTGGAAAGCCACATGCATTGGAAATAATAGTGCTGTAAGTATTTTTTTCTTGTGTTGCAAGATCTAGTTAAGAGTAATAACTACTGAAGTTGATGAGTATAAATTAAATTTTTTTTTATATAATTTTTTTTATTGGGAAAAACATA